TAAAGAAAATGGCACTTCAGCTCCTGGGAGAACATTTAAGGTGACTCCTTTAAGAATTAGTTCACCCCCAAGGTTGGCAAAGCTGATCTTTAAGGGATGCCAAAAGCCTGATCATGCTGGGCGGTGGCGCACGCCTTTAATCCCAGCACTCGGGAGGCAGAGGTGAGTGGATCTCTGTGAGTTCAAGGCCAGCCTGGTCTACAGAGTGAGTTCCAGAAAAGGCATCAAAGCTACACAGAGAAACCCTGTCTCGGATAAAAAAAAAAAAAAAAAAAAAAAAGGAATTAAAAAAAAAAAAAAAAAACGGATCTTGAATCCCAGCCAGCATCTGGCTTTTTTTCTCTCAACGGCATAAAAGGAGTATGCAGCACTGTAGAGACACCAGGGGAGAATCTACAGGCATCTGGAGTCTACCATGTTCTGGTTGCACTTTCAATCACTGCACCATTGTGCCTCAACTTTCAGTTATAAACATTTACCAACAGATTTTAGTGATCTGAATTTTATTTTCCTCACACCCACCTTTATGTTTTCCCTTACTCTGTGTGCATGGTTAACCATCTTACGTCCAGGAACAAACCATGATTATTTTAAAATAAAAATACGTAGAGAGGACGAAGAATACTAGGTATTGGTATTCATAATTGTGAACCACGTTTAATTCTGGGCTGTAATTAATATAAGTACAGCTTGCTGTTTAAAATTGTCCTACAAAGGAGTGAGGGGGATGGGTCCTCACAGCAGAGGCTTCTCACCTCCAGGGGGAATGCAGGAGGGTTTTCATGAGCTGGCTGGCTGGCTGTGTAAGCACACCCGGGAAGGAGGCAAGAGCCGAAGAACACTCAGGCAGGCAGGAGTTGGATTAGAGAACAACAAAGTAGAAGCCCCACCCTTTAGCTTCCCCCAAAGGACAAGGGTAGAGGTTCCAAATGAGAATAGAGATCTTTCTTTTCACTTTAATTATTTAAGATATGGGACCTCATGCTCTTACACACCCACTTCTAAGTACAGTCATCACAACATTGCAACACCACTTTCTCACCACCCTTATTAATCTTTGAGAAAATGAATTTATTATTCACAATGCGATATGTATGTATCAGAGTGACAGTGACATGAAAATATACAAGCTAATAGAGAAAAGATCCCCCTTTCCCCCCTAAAATGTGTCATTTGGTTTTTTAATACCCACTCCATTTGACAATTATTTTTTGGATTACTGGATTTTGGAAACAAAATTGTAAAGAGGAAGCCATCTTCCTCCTATAAATTCTTTGCAAATGGGTATTTTAAATCTTGGTTTGTAAACTGCTATGCTCCCAAAGTTAGTAGGGCACCCTGAATATAGTTTGGGGGATGGAGTTTTGAGTGTGTCCTGCAGAGAAGAGACTGTCATGGTGATGCAATTGTTATGACTACTTTCTCAGTAAGTATTATCTCTTTGAGTCTTATGCTGCTAAAACAGAATATATCAGAATGAATAAGTCTTGAGGAAGAGAGGTTTCTTTCTTACAGTTTGGCAGCTTAGAAAATTCAAGTCCAAGAGGCTGTAAGGATGAATGCCTTCATGCTGCAATATTTATGGCAGATGGTGAAAGCTAGGGGAGATATGTGTGTGTGGGGGGCACATGTGGTGAGTGTGTCATGTGTGTCGTGTGTGTGTGTGTGTGTGTGTGTGTGTGTGAGAGAGAGAGAGAGAGAGAGACAGAGAGACAGAGAGAGACAGAGAGAGAGAGAGACAGAGAGAGACAGAGAGAGAGAGAGAGGAGGAGAGAGAAGCAGGGGCTAGGGGAGAGTGTGCTATGCAGGGAAGGGCATGGGAAAGGCAGAACATGCTTTTAAAAAAAAAATCCACTCTCAAGGTAAGAACCCACTCCCACCAGGACACGATAAACACCCCAATCACCTCTGACAGGCTGTGCCTCTGAACACTGTCGTATTAGAGATTAAGTTTCCACCATGTGAACCTTTGGGGACACATTCAAATCACAGTAGTTCCCAAATAGAAATCTGATAGGCAGGAGGAAATGCTGTATTAAATATAAGTTTCTACTCATGCCCTTTCCACCACCCTGAGCATAAGAATCTCTCTCTCTCCCCTGCCAGGAGTTCTGTAGTGTCAGCAAACCTGACTCAGTAGTGACTGTGTCATGGAGGGTTTTCATAATGAGTCAGACTCAATTCCTCTCCTCCTTTATTTACCCTGCACACTTCACTATGAGTAACAGGAACTGGCATGATGGCAATACTGGGGAAGTGGTATCTACATTTGTTTGGACTTTCTGCCCTTTCCCCAGTCGTCATCTGTCCTTACAATAGGCCACTTGCCATTGCCTCTCTTTCTTGGTTTCACCTTTTGTAATGTTTAAGCTTTACAACTGACACTTCCAACCCCACCTCACCTCACCTCACCCGCCCGGCTCCACCCTACTCCTGCTACTGCAATCCATAGTGACTAAAGCAATAAGTGACTCAAACTTCAAAACTCTACAGTTGATGCTGTGGACAGAATTCAGATCTGCTCATCATCACTTGGCTTTGTTTCCAGAAGGGACTCTGTCACAAGCCAGTTTTGTGAGCAGAGTGGCACTTCCGTGAAGTATAAAATTTGAGCTTTTGCCTAGATCCGCATTTCTGACAATATATCCACATCTGAGACAGAGGTTCCAGATGCCTTTCTAGAAAGATATTCTATGGTTGTGTTCATTTGTGTATCGCTATATGAATATTAGAAAGCAGGATATTAGAAAGTTAAAATAACCCTGGACCTTTGAATTATAACCTGTTTTTATGTTCAAGCTATCTGTGTATTATTTCTCCTGCAGTTGTACATAAAATGTTTTTACATTAAAAAAGGACAAATACTATAGAATTGTATTACATGAAATATATAGAATGTACAAATTTATAGAGACAGAAAGATCAGATGTTATCTCAAGATGAAGAAGAAAGGAATATAGAGCAATGATTTGCTAAGTTCAGAATCTCTGTTTTGTGCGATGGAAAAGCCCAACAAATGGACAATAGTATCAGGACATAATATCATGAATGTAATAACTCAATACAATTAATATAATTAATGAACATCATAAATATAATTATTGAATGAATACTGCGAATGTAATCAATGAATACCTCAAATGTAATTAATATCATGAGTACAATTAATGAATATCATGAGTGTAATTTAAAAAATAAAGAAAAAGAAAAAGAAAAGAAAGGTACAGGTTCTGGGAAGGTTTGAAATCCAGAAATGTGTTTGTTGTTTTGGATAACACACTTGTAGTTCCCTAGGGAGCTCAGTGAAGGAGTCACCAACAGAGAGAGGCACAAATAAATGACTATCAGAGGGTGTAGAGGTTTGTTTGGATCATAATGGTCACGGGGCTGGGGAGGGGATGGCTCAGCCAGGAAAGCGCCTACAGCAGAAGCATGGAGACCCGAGTTGGGTTCGTGAATACGTCTCTGCCCATCCCAGTGCATTGTCTTACTAGCCAGTGAGCTTCAGGTTCGGTATTAGTTGGGGGAACTAATCCTAAATTTGATCTGCTACACTAAATATTACTGTAATAATGCATCAAAATTATTTTTTATAGTTACAGAGTAAAGTCTTATATTAGTGAAAATTAGGTATTTTTACAGGATAAGACTCTGGTCACATGTTACATTGCATTTAATAGAGTTTTGTGTTTTGTTGTTTATTTATTTATTTATTTATTTATTTATTTATTTATTTATTATTCTTTTATTTTATTTTTTGCGAGACAGGGTTTCTCTGTGTAGCTTTGGAGCCTGTCCTGGAACTCACTCTGTAGACCAGGCTGGCCTCAAACTCAATGAGACCCACCTCCCGAGTGCCACCACCGCCCTGCTTTAGTAGGGATTTTTTTAAGGAATTATTTTCCTAACTACTCCTTGAAGTGTGGGATTGGGATTGTTTTATTCAGGGACCAAGAAATTCCTCTGAGAGACAGGATGTGGACAGACCCAAGACCCAGATTGTTTCCTCAAAGCAACCTGTCTAAATAGATCCCAGAATCCTGCATTTAATACCTGGGAAGGCTCCGTCCCATGAGCACCAGAACCAGCTGAATGAGCTGCTGTCACGAGTTCACAAACATGTTCCTCATGGGATTTTCTTTGTCAATTGCCCAGAACCCAGAAACCGAGTCAGAGTGGAATTGTTGCTGTAGGTCATTTCTCAGAAGAATGAAATCACAGAGTTCACCTTAAAAGCAAAGGAGGCTATTAAACCTGGTGTCTGTGTCACAAACTGAATACACTAGGGGCAGTCAGGAGCAGCTCCTGAGGTTTTCTTTCTTTCTTCCTTTTTTTTTTTTCCTTCACACAAAGAGGTAAAGAGAAACCCTGAATGGTCTTACCCTAATACACAAGGCCACCTCCCCTTCAGTTCTTGAAAGTGACAGGTATTTAAGGGAGCTCTTCCTTGTGCTTTGTTTTGAAGGAAAACAACAACAAACTCGCTAACTAACTTAACTAGCTAACTAACTAACAAGACACACCGAGTTGGAAGCACTGACCGGTGGTTGTTTCACTGTTCATTTGAAGTGAAAGATAAGAAAGGTTGCTGTAACTCAGCCTAGAGGCTTTGCAGGGTTCTAAATACCCCGTTGCTGCCTTTGAATGAAACTTTGTGCTCTTATCAAAACGTAATGCAAAATGAAATGAGACACAGGTCCATTTACTTGGGAGACTAACAGCCTATATTCCAGTGATTAAAATAGAGGTTAGCCATGCCAGGCTGCGCCTTCAGAAGCCTACCCACGTCCCACCTGCTATCTCTCCGTACCGTTCTCCACCTCTGCTCCCGTCACACCCTTAACTTGATATCTGTTTACTCTAGAGGGAGCGGGTTTTGAGAAGAGATCATAAATATCCTGGCCCAACGCCCTAGCAGCCATAACAAGGAAAAAGAACATACTCGCCTGAAGATAACGTTGGGGATATTTAAATGTGTGGGTTAAATTTTTATCCACTCTAATAACTGGACTTTTTTTTTTTTCTTCAGTCTACTTCCTACTTCTTTGCTCTCTCTTTCTGCCCTGAAGCGGCAGGCATAAGGATCGGTGCAGGCAAAATCCCCCAGAGCCTACTGCCGGATAGCTCTGTAAGGACTGCTTCGTTCCACAATACCTGGGCGCCTGTCCCTTCTCCGAAATGGCAGGCGTGAGCGGCTGTTTAAAATATTCTATGTTTTTCTTCAACTTCTTGTTCTGGGTAAGTATTTCTCTTTTAATTACCAGTTTTGTACAAGAAAGAGGAGCTTGAGATAAATATCATAATATACATAGAGCTAGAGGATGAGGAGGAAAAGGCATTTTTCCATTGAACTGTTTGGATTTGTTTGTCTCTCTTGGGTTGTTTCGGGAACTGAAAATAAGCCAATGACTCGAGAAAAAAAAAAAGTGTGCTCAAGTTCTTTGAAGATAAACATTTCCCAAATGTTTTCATATTGTTGCAAGACTAAACACAGGGGAAAATATCCCTTAATTAAGGATGATTATTCTTAGTTATATGTCAATCAGCACTCTCTGGTTTAAGGACTCCAAGGAAAACAGTTTGATTCTGCCTGGCTTCTGGTTCCCTCCCTTGACATCTGGGTTTAAAACAGGTGACTAACCAGGGGGTGGCGGGATGATAAATGCATGAGAAGATCATTTTCAGAGCCCCCAGGAAAAAATAGCGGGTCTTGGAATGCTCCAGGAGAAACAGTACAAGTATTTGATTATAAGATCCAGCTAAACCAGTGACTATGGGTTAGTACTTTGAAATCAGTATTCTGATGTGTCATCGGCCCGCCCTTTCAAACAACAGGGTTTGGATTTAGCGGAGTATGTTTTGCTTGAAAGTCTGTTGACGTGGACCAGAGGTTCTCAACCTTTCCAATGCTGCGACCCTTTAACACCGTTCCTCATGCTGTGGCGACCCCAAACTTATTCTTGTTGATATTTCGTAACTGTAGTTTTGCTACTGCTATGAACCGTAACGTGAATATCTGATAGGCAGGCTATCTGATACGTGACCCCTGTGAAAGGGTCGTTCCACCCTGAGGGGGTTGCGACCCACAGGTTGAGAACCACTGATGTAGCTAAACCAGATACAGTGAAAAATGAATATTAACGTGAAGGGCTGGGCTGTAGGGCAAACAGCCTTACTTACCGTTTTACACACAGGCGGGAAGTAAAATATGTTACAAGTAAAGCAATGGGAATATCCCAGCGTGCTCAAATAGAAAAAAAAAAGTCATTTTATATTCTGGATTGAAGAGTGGTTTATGCATTATTAAGAATAAGGAGCCGGGCGGTGGTGGCGCACGCCTTTAATCCCAGCACTCGGGAGGCAGAGCCAGGCGGATCTCTGTGAGTTCGAGGCCAGCCTGGACTACCAAGTGAGTTCCAGGAAAGGCGCAAAGCTACACAGAGAAACCCTGTCTCGAAAAACCAAAAAAAAAAAAAAAAAAAAAAAAAAGAATAAGGAGCTCTGGTTTTGTATCTGAACCTTTTGGCCTTTAGCAGAGAGATAGATGGCTGGTATCAGCCCAGTAAGTTTCTTTCTTTTTTAACTTTGGGCAAAGAGCTTATTAGAGAGTTGGACAGAGCGGTGGGGAAAAGGAAAGGCTCCAATCTCATAAACTTCCATTCTGTTAAACTAATGATGAATTTAAATAAACTAATAAAATTTTATTGTATGAAATGACTTTCCACTCAATGGCCAGTAGCCCTAGTGAATATAGGTGACATATTGGTGAATTAAATTAATTAAATAAGTATTTATTTATATAAATAAGAGAGTGAAAACATTTTGTTCTTTATACTTTGTCTTTTTCCTAGAAAAATGGACTGCTTTGAAAATGTCAGAAACTAGGAAAATATTTTGAGACTCAAGAATTTATGACAAATTTTAAAAATTCATTTGATACATTGCTTCTCTTGAATTATTAAAGTCACTGAGAGTAGAATATAAATGTGTTCCTTGGCTTTCTTTCAAACTTTCCAGCATTCACAAACAAAGACAAATTTGGAAAATTAACTCTGTTATCAGGCCTCTCAAACCATGAAACCCCATCAATCTGTACACTTTTCATTCACTTGCCCAGGCAATTATGAAGAAAACATTAGGGTTATCATTCATCTATCAATACATTAGCATGTGTCTTGAAAGGAAATTACATTTACTAATGTACCTACAATATCATTCTCATACTTTAAAAACTTAATACGAATTTCTTAATGAGGGTTTAAATTTCTCATTGCTTCAAAAATGTTATTTGAACTGGGATCCAGAAAAGGTCCACAGACTATGGTCGGTTGGTGTCTGTAAATTCCCCCTCCAACCTCATCATTTTTCTCCTTTTTGAAATATTGTGTGGTTATTTCTGCTGGTCTTATCAAACTTTCAATGGTTTGAATTTTGCTCTTCATATACCCAAGGGGTACCTTTCCATACTTTTCTATCTTTCGTATACCTGTAAGCTGGCAATGGCATCAGGCCGCTTGATAAGATGTAAGCTTTTGTAAGGGAGAAACTGCTACTTCATAAGTAATACTATGTTCTTTCATCAGGAAGTATACATGGTGTGTCTCTGTTTATGATGATGCTCAAGTTCATTTTCGGTTGATTAAAATATTGAAATGGGTGATAATCTAGTGCTATCAATATTTCTTCATGTGTTAGTTAAGTCATATTGTTTAGTTGCCAGGGCATCCAGTGTGTGTGTGTGTGTGCGTGTGCACCCATGTAGGTGTGCACATAGGTATGTGTGTGTGAGAGAGAACATATATATGTACATCACATATTTTGTATGTCATAGATGCATACACAAATGTGATGTAAATACTTCTTTCTTACTTTTTTAACCAGATTTCAAATTGAGTTAGCTTTCTCATACCATTTAACAATAAGATAATATTTTCCTGAGAAATGAATATATAGTCCAATGCAGTTCTTATCCTTATTGATGTACAATTTATTCTGGGTTTTTGACAAAAGGCTCTTCGAGTTGGTTTCGAGGCTTTTTGACATGATTATAATAATCTTTATAATTTCTTTATTATTAAGTGGGACAAGATATTCCAGGCTCATCTGCCCATTTCCTGGCCAGAGTTAGAATTACCTATTTCTTCAAGAAGTTCTGACCTCTTAACTTTTTACAGAACTACAGCCATTGTTTATATTTCTTTTTTCTTTTCTTTTCTCTTTCTTCTTTTTTTTTGTTTTTTTGAGACAGGGTTTCTTTTTTTCTTTTTTGTTTAAGATTTATTTATTATGTATGTAATATTCCTCCTGCATGTTGTATGTTGTCTGCAGGCCAGAAGAGGGCACCAGATCTCATTACAGATGGTTGTGAGCCACCATGTGGTTGCTGGGAATTGAACTCAGGACCTCTGGAAGAGCAACCACGGCTCTTAACCTCTGAGTCACCTCACCAGCCCTGAGATAGGGTTTCTCTGTGTAGTTTTGGTGCCTGTCCTGGATCTTGCTCTGTAGACCAGGTTGGCCTTGAACTCACAGAGATCTATCTGCTTGGCTCTGCCTCCTGAGTGCTGGGATTAAAGGCGTGCATCACTGCCATCCAGCCATTGTTTATATTTTTATGATTATACAAGTATTAATATACTAATAAACACAGCTTTTAAGATATTAAAACAAATCTGTCTGAAAATACCCACACCACACCAGAAACTATCTTCAGATTAGGAAGATACTGCAAAGTTCTGATTGAAGTTGTGAATTCATTGTCTAATTCACAAACAGGAATTTGGAATAGATCCAAATTTTGAACCAAAACGTTATATAAAGATAATCTCGGAAAGGGATGTGCTATCGGTTTAAGATAAAGGGTTCAAGATCAGTTGCAGCTCTCCTGTCTGTGTGCCATTATATTCCCAGACACTGTCACAGCTTTCCTGGGGGACTCTGATTACTTTATGGTTACAATCTCTTCTTTCTCTGAGGTCACACATGAAATCTTACTGATACTGTAGATTTCAGTTAGATAATTCTAACTTCCTTCACTGATTTTTCTCCTCCCCATGTGTGGTGGGACCTGCAACTTCTAGATAAGAGATAGTGACCCTCAGTGAGGACAATGTCTGGAAAGATGAGTGCTAACTTCTTAGTCACATGTGACATCAACATTTTAAATCAAGATGTAGGCATCTGGAGCTGTTTTTGAGGTGAGGGGGGACATTCCTGTTTCTACTCTTGTGTCTCCCCTCAGCCTGGAGTTCTCAGTTGGAAAGTTATGATCCTTCATAGGAAATTAGCAATTTGTCATATTCTTAATGTTTACATGAGCAAAAATTTTAATGTTTCCATTGATGTGGTTTTCTTGTAGATGTCCATGGCCTTGTGTTTTCAAATGCATTCTTTCTGGTTCTAACTTGTGAAACTTGGCTTTTGTAAAGTGGGGCCAGATGTTGAAGTATCTCTGAGATATGCACATAGTCACTTGATCTAAACATACTGGTTTCTTTTCAGGGAGAACTTGATGTGCCACACAAATATGTGGTGGTTTACATTTGATAGAATTACTAATCGAAGAAAAACATGTGAGTTGAAAATCATTCCTAATCATGCTGGAGACTGCTGCAAGTGAGAGAATTGGAGGTGTTATCAATAATAAAGAAGTTGAAGATACAAAACCTGTTTCCCTGAGTCACATGTCAAACACAGGAAATGCCCAAATTTTCTCATGCCCTTCTTAGATAGGACAGGCCTGAGAGTATCAAAGAAGTGTAGGGTTTCCTGGGCATCTGGGTAAGTATGGGGCCTTTTCTTGGGAAGATGCAGGGTAATAAAAACCAGACATGGAGTACCATGTAGAGATCAGGTTTCATGAAGAAAAACACATTGACATGTTACCAGTCTTTAAGTGAGCACAGTGAGGAAAGGGGGCTAATCCCTAAAGCCAGAGGCATCTGTACCCAAAGGGATCAATGCAATGAAGTGTTCAGAAGATAGTCTTGACATGGACGAAATCCAAGAACCCGTGATTCATTGTTCATTGTCTTTTCTACCTTGGATGTGCTCAGCTTCATTAAGAGCTTGGAGGCAAAGCAGACATCTCTCTGAGATAAGGGTACATTACAAATATTAGGGCACAATTATATTTTATCCTGTTGGCTGATGAAAAGCCCCATGAGAAGCAGTTTCCTGTGGCTGAAATCTATGATCTTTGTAAGTAGAGTGGCTGCTTGTCTTTGTACAGTAAATGT